GCCAGCTTCTCCTTCAGGCTCGACTCTGATTTTGTTACAACTGTCTGAGATAGTTCACGAATGAATAGTAGAACTTTATTGGTTATTTCTATTTGCCAGTTGATCCCTTTCTCACTTCCTCACATTTTCTGGTGCCAATTAACACAATCTGAGGTACGTGAACTTTACCTTTTCTACTACTTCTCCATTCATCTGTTGTTCGCAGTGGGCGTTGGAACGAGGAAGCTGCCGGCTGTTGATTTTAGACACGTTCATGCGCATGCCAGCCGCGTCGCACTCGACAACAATCCTTTTCAAAGAGCACTGGAGGTCAGTTTTTGAAGCACCGACAAAACAAGGTCGTTTACAATAAGCAAACTTCTCTTTCCGGCACCTTCTACGCCTACACATTTGTCAGAGGCACAATGCGCTCTTTGCGGAAACCAGTGCCCTTGTCGAGAGATCTCGACTAAATGCCCCTCACTGACGCAGCACCTAGCATCAACATAAAATGACAGTATGACTCATAACAATTATACATCGATCCCATATTTCTGCAAGAATACCCACAGCTATTGAGCGGAATCAATTAGTACGCTTCTCCGGGTCAACAAAGCACATGCATATTGGATGAGCGAGCTCTCACGATTTCTCAACGATCTGGCGCAAGATGAATGTCTTGTCACAGGAGCTTCAGCTTTACCTTACCGGAAGCCACACTAATCTCCTTGGATCACAGAGTTGCCTATTCCGCGGCACTTCCTTTCTAACATCTTTGCGCAGGCCATTTCCGAGAGGCTTGATAAAGTAACGCCCAGATGGGAGAAGCATATCCTATGATCCCTAATACCACGCCAGTGCGTCAGTAAGATTTGAAATATTACAATGAACTATTTGCATAGTTCATAATATCGCTAACGTCATGACGGTTATTAACTGTTTAGGGTGGTCGGTCGAATATGCAGCAAAACGTGTGAAATCAAGGGCGTTACTATACCCGATGGGGTGACGGTCGTCGTAGACGTTTGGTCGTTACATCGCGACAAAGAAATCTGGGGACCAGACGCTGACGAATTCAAGCCGGAGCGTTTTGTAAACCAGGACAAAAGAATGGAATCGGCATGGATTCCCTTCGGATCTGGTCCGAGGATTTGTATAGGCATGCGCTTGGCGATGAACGAAATGAAAATGGCACTGGTGAAGATTTTTCAGAAGTTCACATTCGAAATGTCGCCGCTGAGTGAAGTAAGTAGTTGATGACATATCGCAGCGGATCTTTGGTAACGTCGGAAATTTGTTTAGCCTTACAGTCGTTATTACACAATAATCACTCCTAACAATCAACATACCAATTCGCGCAAATTACTAGATTGCACAACCGCTTCCTGCTCTTTAGCTACTAATTTCTTGAAGTTTTTTTAACTCAATTTACAAAGGGAAGCGACTTGGACTCGAATCTCTTTGTTTCAAGGCTACAACTTTGAGTCCTTCAAATCTAAAAGTTCGGTAAGTCTTGTTGACATGAAAATATGTCTAAAGGTAAAGCTCGTTTACTCTTTATCAAAAATTACACATTCGGGACCACGTCCTCGCTCGACCTATCAGTCCCTCATTAACAAAACTGATTTGACTTTCGGGATCGTAGTGATGACCTGTTTTTCTTAATGAAAGCAGCACACTTGGATCTACCAGCTACTTGCTTTCATTAATTGTAGCGCGTCTGTGACTTCGCCGCGCTGCCACCTATGGGTGCTGCGTATTGGCTCCTCAACCTATTTGATCTCCCAAAACTCAAAAGTTGACTTACTCAGGTCCGTGACAGCCAACGGCAAATGAAGGGGCTGCGGTCATTTCCTATACAAACACGGTCAAGCGACGAAAGGTTGCTTTTACAGACGGCATCTAAAACTACTGTTTTGGTAGTTAACATTAGATTACCGGAGTCAACGTTTTCTAACTATAGCCCACTGTTTCAGAAACCAGAGCGCTGGTTCAATGACGTGTGCCGATTTTGCATTGAGTCTTGCTCCGGCAAAGTCAATGTAATAATCTGTGGTGGCCTGATAACATGCAAACCTTCTTGTTATTTTAAACTTCCTCAAAACTCTAAGCCAGTTAACGTTGACCTGCTCCCGTAACTCCAACTTTTATGTTCCATAACTGTTGCTCGTGTGGATTATGAAGTTTGACCAGCATTCTCAGGCGTTATAGCTCGAACATTTAGTAAACAGTATTTGTTGTCTCATCAGGTGGATCTGATCGTTGCTTTTCATAAAATGAGATCTTCATTGCCCTTTGACGTTAAAGAAACGTAAACATTCGCCAATGTGAGGATTCTTGTGATTCGTTCACTGAGCCATTGAACGTACGGAACTCTGATGATGACTAGCGGTTTTCCAACGTGCCTCAGTTTGAACTTTCCCTCTCTTATGACGAATGTTCATGAAAATTCGTTATAGTCCATCCCACATGAATTGCTTCTCCTTTCGAGTCGCACGGCGCAATTAGTTAATTCGGACTATAAATCATTTGATGCCTCAGGTTTCTGTTGTCAGGGAGGGATTGGACTCCAGATGTAGATAGCGATCTGTGTGATGTGATTTGCTACACGCCACCACTTCAAATAAG